GAAAGCGCAACAAGAGCACAAAGGTGTTGCAGCCCATCTCCGACGATGCATGGAAACTCATTGCAATTGAGCCCCACAGAGCGAAGAGAGCTGTCGTGTATGTTGGTAATCTCAGCAGGGAGACAACTGAAGACCGGTTACGAAAAAATTTGTTGATTTGCGTAGCAGGGCCGTCAACTCCGACACACCAGTAGTGCTCCATACCTCTAGCATGCATGTCAATGATAGCGGCTGCATATCTGCAACAGCGATGGTGGATGCCAGCTCCCTGCATATCCTGCTGGCTGCCAACTTCTGGCCAAGGCCACTTTACTGCAGGAGGTGGACCTGCCACACATCCGACAGTCATAAGACGGCACCAGGGTCAGCTCAGCCTGGTTGCGCACCAACTTTGCCAACCAATGATAAAGAATGATGGCAGCACTGGGCGACCCTAAGTGTAAACTACTTCTAACTAATGCATTTGGCCTGATTTCTAAGCTTGGTGAATTCCAGCACGTAGTCACCACACACCTACCAGACATTGCCATTGTCACGGAGACGAAGTTCACGGTAGAGAAATGTACGATTGTGGATGCCATGCTGCCAAGTTCCCAGCCGCCCATCCGTCGTGACCGTACATCACAGGGTGGAGACGTAGCTATGTTGTTGCGGTCCGGTCTGGCCTACAGACATCTGGAGCAGGTGAGCTGCGGTGATCTGGAGGTCATATGGATTACTGTCCAACTACAATCAGGCAACAACGTAGTGGTGTGTGCCGCTTACCGGCCAGGCTCGTGTTCTGACAGCGACATCTCCATGATCTGGCATATTGATAGCACACTTGACAGAGTGCGGGAGCAAGGATCTAACATCATTATTGCCGGCGATTTCAATGTGCACAACCGAGCTTGGATCCACAGCACCAGGACGAGCATTGCTGGTGAAGCTGCAGAGGACATGTGCGCACTGCATGGTCTCAACATGTACTGGAACCCACCCGCGATGCTAACACGTTGGACTTGGTCATGACGGACTTCCAAGATCCCGTCCACATTCAGGAAAAAAAAAAGTAAATTATCGTATCCGTTCCTGAAAGGAACTCACAATGGCCGCTAACACCCGATAAACCCTAGCGGCAGACGTGGACCACATTCAGGTACTGCCCCCAATTGGCAAGTCTGACCATGCTGTCATCATAGCTACATGTAGTTCTCAGCTGCAGAGAGAGAAGAGCACGCGGAGAACCGTCTGGCGCTACAAGAAAGCAGGCTGGCCTCGCCTACAGCACTTCTACCGAACCACAGATTGGGACGCATTGCACTCACCTGATGTTGATGAATGCACCCGGGCGGTGACTAGCCACATTCTTCTGGGTATGCAGAAGTTCATACCATCTCGGAGACTTGTAGCACGCCCATCTGATAAACCATGGTGGACACCGGAATGCTCTGACGCTGTCAAAGAGAAGCAGAGAGCTTGGCGGCATTGGCGCTCACAACCTTGTGTTGCTAATTAGAGCACATACAAGATAGCCTGCACAAATCCCCGCCTCCTCATTTCTGCTGCAAAGTCAATCCACCGTCAGCGTATTCGAGCTCGACTGCAAGCAGGTTGTGCAAACGATAAAGAGTGGTGGAAAACTCTGAAGCAAGCCAGTGGCCATGGACGCAACTCTGGCATACCTACTATCATCGATCATGATGGCAAATAACACTCCACCAATAGTAGCAAAGCTGAGGCGTTTGGGAAGGATTTTGCTGGGAAATGCTCTCTTGTGGATGATTTCGAGGATGAGCCTTTCCCACATGTACAGCCTAAGTCTACAGCCCCCTTGTACCAAGTGAATATCAGGGAACCAGCTGTAGCCCGAGCCCTCCGTCAGCTTGAGACCTCCTAAGCAACAGGACCTGACAACATCCCAGCTTGTGTCCTCAAGACGTGTGCAAACGAGCTTGCTGCCCCCCCCCCCCCCCCCCTAGCACGCCTCTTTGCCATGTGTTTCTCTATTGGAAGACAACCGGTAGACTGGAAAGAGGCCAGAATAGTTCCAGTTCACAAGAAGAACTCCCGTTCACCCATCAGCCACTACCAACCAGTGTCCCTACTCAACATTATCTCAAAGGTAATGGAAGGCATTGTGAACCTCGCAATCATGAACTTTCTAGATCGCCATAATTTTCTATCTGCAAGGCAATATGGATTCCGCTGACGCCTTGGAACTGCAGATGTCCTGACGCTCCTACATCAGCAATGGAGTAGAGCTGCCGGTGCGGGAGGCTCAGCCCGTGTTCTTGCAATAGACATAGCTGGAGCATTTGATAAGGTGTCCCACAAAGGTGTGATTCACAAAGCTGCTGTCTATGGGCTCAGGGGCCACCTTTTAACCTGGTTGACCGACTATCTATCAGCTCGGCATCTCCATGCAGTCGTATCTGGCCATGAGTCTAATGTCTTTTCCATTACCGCTGGTGTTCCTCAAGGAAGTATACTGGGGCCTACTCTGTTCTTGTTATACGTGAATGACAGTGACACTACTCTAGGAGAGGGTGTAGATCTCGCTGTCTATGCGGACATCACCACGCTGTATCAGTGTCTCGCAGTGGGTGCGGACGTGAATGAACAAAGTCGTGTTTTTCAGCATGCAGTGGATGACCTCTCCGCCTGGAAGATCTCATTTGAGCCCACCAATCCCAGACCCTCACCATTGATCACCATTGGCCACGTCGGCAGCTCCCAGCCGACTCCTTCGATGGAGTACCAGTTGTGGAGGTAGCAGAGCTCAAGCTCCTAGGAGTCCAGTTCGACACACAGTTGTCTTTCCACCAGCATTTGCGCTCTGTAGCCGTAAGTGCTCGCCAGCGGTTACACTTCCTGAACAGAGCTGCCCCCATCCTTGATGTTCGTGGAAGAGAGCGGGTCTACAAAGGCTTCGTCAGACCAGTAATGGAATACTGCCCGTTGGTCTGGATGTGGGCAGCCACTACAACCCTTCGCCAGCTCGATGCAGTTCAGTTACGAGCTCTCAAGATCATCTCTCGTGAGTCATGGCTCCCAAATCTGGCCCTCCGCCGTGCTGTTGCTGCTCACACGTACTTATACAAGCTCCAGTGCCTCCCAACTAGCTCACCACTGCGAGCAATGATCCCTGCCGTTGCACCAGAGCTGCAAGGGCATCCTCACATAAATCAGCAGAGCCGGATTTGCCATGAATTGCAGTTTGCCATGCCCCGCAACCGTCACTCACGTAACAGCGTACAGCATTTCCGTCCGCCATCGTTGAGGATTGAAATCGCCTTCCTCCAGAGCTCATCACAGCACCACTTACTCTACCTCGCCTCCAGCAGTTCAAATAAGGCGTTCATAAGTATCTGCGATCTGCTGACTGGTATTGGGCCTCTACGCACCTGTGATCTGTGTGTGTGTGTGTGTGTGTGTGTGTGTGTGTGTGTGTGTGTGTGTGTGTGTGTGTGTGTGTGTGTGTGCGTGTGTGTGCGTGCGTGTGTGTGTGTGTATAGTGTGTGTGTGTGTGTGTGTGTGTGTGTGTGTGTGTGTGTATATATAGTACTTGTGTGTGTGTGTGTGTGTTTGTGTGTGCGTGTGTGTGCGTGCGTGTGTGTGTGTGTATAGTGTGTGTGTGTGTGTGTGTATAAATAGTGTGTCCCATATGGTGCAGTGGTATATGCAGCGATTTCCAATCGATAGATTGCGGGTTCGATTCCCGACGATTATGGTCACACACGTCTTTCTTCTCTTTCTCAGACTCTTCCTGACTTTTCTTTCATTCTCCTGGGTGGTTACCAACAGCCAGTGCATGCCGGAGTATGTGGTGTGATGTGTGTGCGGGAAAAAAAGAAAAAAAAGAAAAAAATGAAAAAAGACCAAAAAAAGGGATTCACTGGCCAGAAATTGTCACTCCAAATAGCTGTATGGTGTAGACCAGGCTGAATAGTGACGGTCAATTCTTCAGCCTTGCAAGCTGTTGAATGGTGTAATCCCAGCACAAGTTGCTATGGCTTCTGCTGTAGCATTGCTATCATCGCCTCCGGCGATGGGCGTCAAAGGTGAAGGTATAAATAGTACTTGTGTGTGTGTGTGTGTGTGTGTGTGTGTGTGTGTGTGATGTGTGTGTGTGTATAGTACTGGTGTGTGTGTGAATGTGTGTGTGTGTGTGAATGTGTGTGTGTATAGTATGTGTGTGTAATACTTCCGTGTGTGTGTGTGTGTGTGTGTGTGTGTGTGTGTGTGTGTGTGTGTGTGGCTGTTCGCGTGTGCGTGTGTGTGTGTGTGTGCCGGCGTGCGTGTGTGTATGATTTCGGATACCTGCTGCTGGGCGTATGCAGTCAATGTATGGTGTACCTGAACCTCAACTTTTTCCTCCCATTGAAAAACATTCCGTGACCGTGCTGCCACCCTTATTTCACATTTGCTCTGTAGTGCTCCTGCTCATTTTTTTATATTTTCATATTTTTCTATTTTTCTGCTTGGCGCGCATGAGCAGTGCTGAGGCCGAAACCCCTGGTCGGTTTAGCTGCTCTTGCCCCGCCTCCACTGCTTCGGCTGCCATCGCTATGTGCATCTCTGTGCGTTTTTGCCGGCGTTTGCACCATGATTCTTTGTGGTTATCTTGTTAAAACAGTGTGTGTGTTTGTGTGTGTGTTTGTTTGTGTTTGTGTGTGTGTGTGTTATCCCATCACTAGTTGCCGTTTCTAACGTAGCTGTTCTTTACCATTGCTTCTGCGATGGGCAGGTCTGAGATCTGGGATCTGAGGTGTGTGTGTGTGTGTGTTTGTGTGTGTATGTGTGTGTGTGTGTGTGAGTGTGAGTGTGTGTGTGTGTGTGTGTGTGTGTGTGTGTGTGTGTGTGTGTGTGTGTGTGTGTGTGTGTGTGTGTGTGTGTGTGTGTGCATGCATGCATGAGTGTGTGTGTGTGTGCAAGGGTTCGTGTGCATCAACATGTGTATGAATGTGGGTATGTGTGTCCATGTCTTGTCTTTAATTTGCTGCTACTTCCAGGATGGTGAAACACCATTACATCGAGTAGCAGCGTTTGGTACTGTTTCCACAGCGGAATATCTTCTCACTTCTGGACATTCGTTGCAACCAAGGAATAATGTAAGTCAGATTATCGCTGATGCATGCTCGTTTTTATGAGCAGAAAGAAGAATTACGCAGTTGAATACTTTTTTGCGAGTAAACTTCCGTGCCTTCTCTTCATGTTGTGACGTACCTTTTTCCCTTACATTGTCTCCTTCCGCATCAACAAGGTAATATAGCGGCATGAGCAAATGAGAGCAAGAACAATGAATTATGTATAGGCATGATGTATATTGGTCACGTATTAATCATCGTTGTTTTTAGCTATTCTGCTTTGACCTGGTTTTATCACTACATTGCTGTCCATAATTTATTGTGAAAAAGGAGAAGGAAAAAATGTTCCGAGTTATGACTAACTGCCCACCAATGTAACCAGATCTTATACAGTCAATGAGTGCGACCATTTTTTATATTTATTTACAATGAACACAGCTCACAGGCAAAGACAAAAAAAATGCATAGTGGGAGCATAGCGATGGTAAGGCTTTTTGCCCTCAGCCAACCTGAGGTCTCGACGTCATGGGGACATAAAACACACCAAAAAGAAAGAAGAAGAAACAATTGAAACAAGGCACCGATAACAACAGATTATTGCGTAGAAAGACTCACTGCGAGCCGGAGGACTTCGTGGTCATCAGTGGGAATCTGGTCGAGGTGCACCACTGGGAGGCCGGACTTCACCCATACAGCAATGCCGCCGCCAAATGCATCCCGGTCACGTTGGATGGGAAGCGAGTATCCTGGAAATATCGTTTCAGAGGCTTGTTGTTGTTGTTTGGCTTTATTTAAAGTGGAGTTCCAAAACAGGCCTTAACCTAATGACAATGGTCCCACTGATAATAAGAAAAGAAAAATATATAATAATAAGCGGACAGACAGAACCAAGAAGAAGATACAGCTGTAGTTAGATAACTAATATGAGCACGGCAGCAGGGGAAAAAAAGTCACAAGCACGGCAACCGGGAAGAAAGGAGTGAGTGAGTGAGAGAGAGAGAGAGATAGAGAGAGAGAGAGAGAGAGAGAGAGAGAGAGAGAGAGAGATAGAGAGAGAGAGAGAGAGAGAGAGAGAGAGAGAGAGAGAGAGAGAGAGAGAGAGAGAGAGAGAGAGAGGAGAGAAAGAGGTAGTGAAGCAGATGAGGTCATCCTAGTTGACGGTACTGCCTAACAGAAAGGCCAGGCTTAGCGATTTGAAAGTGGAGCGCTTTCTTTCGAGGCGTGCTGTGTCTGGGAGCTGGTTCCACAGGATAGCTCCAGCATGGCTAATGCGCTTAGCTGAGGATGCAGTGGGGGAGACAGGAATGATGAGTAACTTGCTGCTCCCTCCTCGTGTTCGGAGAGAGGGACTACGGGTGAAAAAGCTTGCAAACAGAGTACTTGAAGATTTGTTCAGGCAGCGCCAAATGAATACAAGAATGTGCATGTGGGTGTATATGCTGAGGGTATGGGCATTCATGCGTTCAAGTAAGGGAGCCGTGTGAGTGCGAGGGGCTGCCCTGCACACCGAGCGAGCCGCACGTTTGAACAAACTATTTAGGCGCTTATCCTGATAAGACGATAAGAAAGGGGCATAGGCAGCAGATGCATAGTCAAATTCTGATAGTATAAAGGACCTGAAAAACTGAACACGGCAAGAAAAAGGCAAACATGCTGCACTTCGATTTAGTAGCCCAATCTTAGCGGCAACGCGGCGTGCAACATGGCTTGTCATGGTGTTCCAGCTCATGTCTGAGTCGAAATGTAGGCCAAGATACTTGGCCGTTTTCACAACAGGCAGCGTCTGCCCATTACGAATGACATGCAGCTCAAGTGCTTGAGATGGGGATGGGGGAATAGGCAATATCTGTGTCTTTCTTTCATTAAGAATTAAACCACGGCCCTTCAGCCAGGTGGCCAGGTGCTGAACAGCAGCTGAAAGGTGTGCAGAAACAGCTTCCGCAGACTCTCTGCTACATCGTATAGAGATGTCATCAGCAAACTGGATTGCTCCCACATTAAACGGTGATAGTTCTTCTGCTATGCCGCGGGCATAGACAATAAATAGCAGTGGGCCCAGTACCGACCCCTGGGGGACACCTGAGTAACTGGTGTACGGGAGACTTCTAGTCTGGCCAACCTGAACGTACTGTTCTCTATCAGAGAGGTAATCCACCAGCCAACAGAGTGCCGTGTCGCAGATGCCAAGTTCGAACAGATCTTGCACAAGAGTTTGATGTTTCACTTTATCGAATGCCTTTGACATATCAACAAAGGCTACACCTGTGTAGAGTCTGTTCATACGGGCCTCACAGATACCTTCCACAGCTAGCACTAGTGCGTCGGATGTAGAGTGGTGGGATCTGTAGCCGAATTGAGTTGGCGGGAATAAATTGCTCTGGACTATATATCGTGTGAGTTGCTCGTGGACTATCCTTTCCAACACTTTGGATGCAATCGATAACAAGGACACTGGTCGATGATTCTTTGGCATGCTCGGATCTCCGCCTTTGAAGAGTGGCGATATCCTAGCACTTTTCATCTGGGCAGGAAATATGCCCTCTCTCAGGGACTTGTTAAAGATCAAAGTCAGGGATGGCGCCAGTACGTCTGCATGTGCGCGGAGAAGGGCTGCAGAAATGTCATCATCACCGCTGGACTTGGCCGGATTTAAACGTTCGAGGAGCTTCCTCACTCTGGCAATAGACACTGGCGCAAAGGCTGTCAGATCAGTGCTTGAGGCGGGCCCGTAGGGAAATGAGAGATGCACTGGGCGGCTGGCGTCCTCTACTATCTCTGCAAAGGTGTTTCGGATGGCATCAACGGAACATTGAGGTGGCTGAGATTATCGATGTTTACCACTCAATTCTTTGATCGTGTGCCATGTCTGTTTGGTATTGCCAGACGCAGCTCGAAACTTGGATTGGTAGTAGGTCTCTTTCTGTTGCCTATTATAGCTGGTAGCTTCCCGCCTGGCAGCCTTGAAAGCTGAGTGGGAATGTTCTGTTCCATCACTAAGCCACCTCCTATGGAGCCGGTTGCGCTTAGTCAAGAGGTGTAATAACTGGCGGTTCATCCATGGTACTGATTTTTTTTTTCAGCTCGGCATCTCCGTGCAGTCGTATCTAGCCATGAGTCTAATGTCTTTCCCATTACCGCTGGTGTTCCTAAAGGAAGTATACTGGAGCCTACTCTTTTCTTGTTATACGTGAATGACAGTGACACTACTCTCGGAGAGGGCGTAGATCTCGCTGTCTATGCGGACGATACCACGCTGTATCAGTGTCTTGCAGTGGGCGCAGACGTGAATGAACAAAGCCGTGTTTTGCAGCATGCAGTGGATGACCTCTCCGCCTGGGGCAAAGCCTAGAAGATCTCATTTGAGCCCACCAATCCCAGACCCTCACCATCGATCACCATCGGCCACGTCGGCAGCTCCCAGCCATCTCCTTCGATGGAGTACCAGTTGTGGAGGAAGCAGAGCTCAAGCTCCTAGGAGTCCAGTTCGACACACAGTTGTCTTTCCACCAGCATTTGCGCTCTGTAGCCGTAAGTGCTCGCCAGCGGTTACACTTCCTGAACAGAGCTGTCCCCATCCTTGATGTTCGTGGAAGAGAGCGGGTCTACAAAGGCTTCGTCAGACCAGTAATGTAATAGTTCAATACTGCCCGTTGGTCTGGATGGGGGCTGCCACTACAACTCTTTGCCAGCTCGATGCAGTTCAGTTACGAGCTCTCAAGATCATCTCTCGTGAGTCATGGCTCCCAAGTCTGGCCCTCCGCCGTGCAGCTGCTGCTTACACGTACCTATTCAAGCTCCAATGTCTCCCAACTAGCTCACTATTGCGAGCAATGATCCCTGCCGTTGCACCAGAGCTGCAAGGGCATCCTCTCACTCGTCAGCAGAGCCGGATTTGCCATGAATTGCAGTTTGCCATGCCCCACAACCGTCACCCGTGCAACAGCGTGCAGCGATCATTTCCGTCTGCCATCGTTGAGGAGTGGAATCGCCTTCCTCCAGAGCTCATCACAGCACCACTTACTCTACCTTCAGGGGCGTCGGAACCGGTGCGGCAGGTGCGGCCAAAGCCGCACCAATAATTTTCGAATTTTTATTTTATTTTATTTTTATTTTATTTTTTACATTTCAACCTTGTTGGTGGCTTGTCGACTCTTGTACAGGTACCATGTTTTACATCGACAATGCGGTGTATCATCAGCATGCATATTGTTTTTATTATTCTATATGGCTTTTCAGGCCTAATTTTCAAAAAATTTCACGGGGAGGACCCCCACCCCCTCTCACACTTTCGCCGCACCAATATTAAACTCCTTCCGACGCCCCTGACCTCGCCTCCAGCAGTTCAAAGAAGGCGTTCATAAGTATCTGCGATCTGTTGACTGGCATTGGGCCTCTATGCACCTGTGATCTGTGTGTGTGTGTGTGTGTGTGTGTGTGTGTGTGTGTGTGTGTGTGTGTGTGTGCGTGTGTGTGCGTGCATGTGTGTGTGCGTGTGTGTATAGTGTGTGTGTGCATGTGTGTATAGTGTGTGTGTGTGTATATAGTACTTGTGTGTGTGTGTGTGTGTGTGTGTGTGTGTGTGTGTGTGTGTGTGTGTGTGTGTGTGTGTGTGTGTGTGTGTGTGTGTGTGTGTGTGTGTGTGTGTGTGCGTGTGTGTGCGTGCATGTGTGTGTGCGTGTGTGTATAGTGTGTGTGTGCATGTGTGTATAGTGTGTGTGTGTATATAGTACTTGTGTGTGTGTGTGTGTCTGTGTTCGATGCCAGGCAATGAGCGAAGCTGTGTATGGACCTGTTCGGCGCTCACCAGCTGCTCAGTGTGATCTGGGCTAGCCATCCCACCCAGGCTGTTGGGGCTAGTCCCCAAAAGCTACCTAAAAACTACGGAAAAACGGGAGCCTCAATACACGCAACCTACTACACTCCTTACACACACACTAGCTACAGTCTTGGCCGAGAAGTTCGTTTCTGTGATAACTGCTATGTCAACGTTATCGTTGAGCAGTGCATGCAGCCACGCTTCCAGC